ACTGGACAAATTTGCAGTGAAAGCGGTAGTTCAACTTTGCAATTGACCGCCTTAGGGATCCTCGTTTAAGTATTATGCCGATTCTACAAGTGAGTGTTTACGAAACTAGATTCAAAATCAGAAGGCATCGCCTTTACTAACCCAGAAATGAATAAGTTTGTTTTTCGAGGATTTTAGTTACCTTCACTGGAAAAAAGATTCAGCTGAATAAACTGAATTGAAAGTATTTTCGAAATTAGATATCCCTTGCGGTTTTGGCATCTCGAATAAGATGACGATTCTAGTAAATACACTCCATTTATTACTCCATTTGGACGACTTCCCTACAGAAGAATCCTCTTTGATATTACAGGTTCAATCGTAATATTTCGAAAAACACTTAAAACCTTAGCCAGAAATTGAAATAAAAACTGTGCTTTCACACACCGATGTAAGTATTGGAAATAAATATCGAATTGTATAATGGATTATAGCTCCATATGAATAAATGTCTGTTCAAAAAACGTGTAACTTCAAATCTGGGTTATGTTGTCACAGTAGAAACTGTAAAATCGATGAGACTTTTATTGTTCAATATATCCATCATATCTGTACCTGTCAAGACTTTTTTTGTTTTTAATGTTTTTCGATGAAGACATAATTTTGAGGCAAAATGATAGTTAAAAAAACTGTTTTTCCGTCAACCAGCTGTCGCACCCTCACGAACGACAACCCTCAGAAGTCGAAGCTTGTGCGAGCTAATGATTAACGAAGTCTTAGCTTTAAACGTGTGATTCCTAACAAGGAATAGTGTTTCAATAAATGCGATGTCGGAAGTTTCCGTAATAGAGGAAGTGAAACGTGTTTGAAATGAATATCAGATGATATATAAAGTTAAAAAATAGTATTAAATGGTTGGTCATGAAAAGAATTCGATTCAAATGATGATATACCTTGTTATAATGAATATTCATCCGTTATCTGAAGAAAAAGTATTTTTTGAAAATGTTACACGGCGGTAATTTCGTGTCGAATCATTAAATGCTTGGCCCGAGTCAGAGTAACAATGTGGTTGCCCAGAATGAGTCAACAACTCAAAAATAAGGTAGAATTCTATGAAATTTGTATTCAATCTAGATCTGAAAACATAGTACTCATAATTACTTTAGAAATGCCATCAATATCTCGTTCAGTGTGGGAAATAGATCTAGCTAAGAATAAAGGTAATAACTATTTAGTTGTAAGATATTATCATTCAAACTTTCCTGAAATAGAGCAGTTGAAAATGGTTCACTCTTCAAGTGTTGTTAATGCTTTGAAAGAAATATTTTTTACATAAAATTCCTGTTGTTATAAGATCCGACAATGCCACCGACTTTGCTGGATATAAATTTATTCAGTTTTCGAAAGATTGTTGATTTCAATGACATTTTTCCGTCATTGAATACCCGCAATCTGAAGGCCACAGTGAATCAGTTGTCGAACTTTTAAAAATAATTCTCTGACAAAATCCAGATGACCTGTTTTTTGTCCTATATTTTTACTGTAATGAAGAGTTACATTGCGGTTCATCCTCTGCGTAAATATTATATGGAAGTATCATGAAAGATCGACTACCAGTCCTGAATACAAAACTCCCAACCAATATAATGAATTTTTTTTTTATTTTTCATCATACCTTTTGATATTACACGATACTAGCTGGTTGATTTGTTCAGAAACATACTGTTGTAAGAGAAAAAAAATACCAAGGCCATAACTTTTCCAGCCAATTGACGATGTTCACCAGTTGCCCTCCACTCAGATGACAACCGTTTTGATTTCGGAGTGAAGTGATGGATCAATGTTTCGTCTATTGTCACATATTGACAAAAACATTCCGGTTTGTCATGTTTAAACATGACCAAACACTGCTCGGAATCATCAAGACGTTCTTGTTTTTGGTCAACAGTGAACTCGCGCGGCACCCACTTTGAGCAGAACCTTCTCATAGTCAAATGCTCATGCAATATAAAGCCAACACATGATATATTCACAATGTCAGCTAACTCACACAACTTCACTTTTCGATCATTCAAAACGATTTTGTGTATTTTTTTCATGTTTTCTGGTGCTACTGTCTCTGTCTCGGTGTCTCTATCTACGACCACGTAGAAAAGCTACTTCTAATTGTTGTTTCCGATGGAACGAAGTCCTCATAATACTTTTCAAGCCATTGCTTTGCTGCGCAATAACTCACAAACTCATAAGTAGAATATCATGAAATTTCAACAGATTCCTTTAAAAGATTAGTTTCAACTGAAAAAACGATGAATACGACAAAACTAGCACCATCTATGTTAGGCCCGAGACTTTTCAATCCATTGATGATTAACTGTTATAGCAATTTGTTTATAAATTTAGTTGTAAGATATTATCATTCAAACTTTCCTGAAATAGAGCAGTTGAAAATGGTTCACTCTTCAAGTGTTGTTAATGCTTTGAAAGAAATATTTTTTACATAAAATTCCTGTTGTTATAAGATCCGACAATGCCACCGACTTTGCTGGATATTAATTTATTCATTTTTCGAAAGATTGTGGATTTCAATGACATTTTCGTCATTGAATACCCGCAATCTGAAGGCCACAGTGAATCAGTTGTCGAACATTTAAAAATAATTCTCTGACAAAATCCAGATGACCTGTTTCTTGTCCTATATTTTTACTGTAATGAAAAGTTACATTGCGGTTCATCCTCTGCGTAAATATTATATGGAAGTATCATGAAAGATCGACTACCAGTCCTGAATACAAAACTCCCAACCAAATATTGCAGAAATAAGACAAAACATAGTTGAAAAATTGGAGAAAAAAAAGTTTATGAGACAGTGAGACGGGTATATACTATGGAACATAAACAAAAAGCTCATTTCTCAAAAAAATACTCTCCTGGTATTATATCCAGAAATAAGGCATTGTTCAAGAAAGACAATATTTTCGAAATCAGTTTCTATGAGTCTATTTTGAACTTAATATCACAGTGAATACTTATTCAATTTGATCAAAAACCAGCACTCCAGTAAGTGCACTTTTGCCAACGTAACACAAGTCGAATGATTTCATCACCATAAAAACTGGGTGCCGGAATTCGATAAAGTCGAGAAAGACCGTTTTCGCCTGGTCCTGATTGGCGAAGATTCTACCGGTGAGAAAGTTAGTGAAGTGCTTGAAAAGATGGCAGTCGGTTGGCGAAAGATCTGGGAAGTATGGTGGGTGAGGCAGAATTTCGACGCTCAATTGTTTCAATTTTCAGACGATGATTTGTGAAACGTGCGGATGGGCGTTGTCGTGGAGCAGGATTGGACCTCTACTGTTGACCAGTGCCGGCTGTTGCTGATGTTATTTTCGGTACATCTCGTCGATTTTCTTATGATAGAACTCTCCTGTGATA